CCCCCCCCCCCCCCCCCCACGGCATTACATATTGATGTTGATGTTGCTAGTCGTCAGTCAGTTGAAGACAAATATGCTTGTGCCGGTTTAGAAGCTTCTCTCTCGTTCTTCCGAGCCTTCCACCGTGCATCCAACACGGCATCAAGTGTTATCATGCCATTCAACCACAGTCCAGAGCTCAGGGTATGGAACATACGAAGTTCAGTTTCTTCAATACTCGACTTGCTGTATTGGAAATGCGGATTGAGTTTTCAACTTATGCGGGGGGCCTTCCGCCTGCGGATTAACACCTGTGAGGCCTTTTGAGGACAGTGTACGCACGCATATGGTTCAGAAAAGAAGAAGTAATTAGCGAGAGTTATTCCATAGCCCCCATGCCTGACATTTTCCAGAGGGTTCGCAGCAGGTTGTCACTCACATCAAGCGACATCTTGGTGCTGACAAGAAGTTTGGCTTCGATGAAGCATCAGCTCGTATGCAACGCTTAAGTTTGGCGGCAAGGTTTGAGTCAAGCTTCAGCTTCATTGCAAACAATGTCCCAGTTGGTAGCAAGCTCTTGAAATATTGCATCGGCCCACATAAATGCGCTTCGTGAAGGCAATCCCAAATCCAAATTTTTGCATAGTAGATGGGGAGAGGCTTAGGAGGTTTTCGGTTGTAGCGATAGGGCGTGTGCAAGTCAGGAGGGCGTCAAATGTGCTGAAATGCAGCTGAAGCTTGGTGCTGATTCCCTGGAATTCTGTGGCCGTGTGCCATTGGCGGCAGAACTGGCTTGTAAATAGCTCTGGATCGCAGACAGCTCGGTCGGCTGCACGCCGGTTTAAATAATCGCCAAGCTTAAATCCTCACAGCAGACACTGAATGCATCTGAAGCGCACATGATTTGCGTGCCAGCGGTTTTGACCCAAAAATTCAAGTTGTTGGTTGCGCATTTTTTTGAATGTCCACATCCAAGTAACACCATCAATGCTCTTCTAGCAAAGCCGCAGCCTAACCGGCAACCCGCACTTCCCGAATCCCGGACCTCAAGCAAGCAATGCCCGAACACTTGAGGCTTGGAATGGCTTGGAGGTTTAGGAATCGCTGCTTTAAAGCGCGTGAATGTTCACAAAAGCGCGTTCCCAACTAAGTTGTGTGAGGTGCGGAGAAGTATAGCACCATGGCCCTATGGGGCCATCAAACTCACGGTTATGATCACCATGGGTTGCAATGCTCTTTCAATGGAGTGGCTTCAATCTTCTGCAATTTTTGGGTCCATAGTTTTGGGGATTTTTGGAAAGATGCGGGACCCTGGCTTGAGCTCAGCAACGCAATGTGCACTGCCCCGTGCTGAGGCGAAACTTTGGAAGCTCGAGTCAGAGGTGCAAACCGCATCCCTTCGTTAACAATATTTCAAGATGTGAAATAGTGAGCACAGAATGACCCGAGCAATGTTGGGCTTATGATGGATGAGTGCCGTGCTAGTGCGAATGGCAAAGGCAGCCGACATGCTAACATAAGCAGTATTACACGTCAGCACAAGCAAGCAGTTCTTCTGCTTGTCATTTTGAACTGAATCGTTAACGACACTTAGCCCAAATGCAAGCAATCCAAGCATTCGACGAGCTTGTTGGAGGCCTGGCAGATGCTGTGGAAGAGCTCCGGATGCAACTGGAGGCTTCGGCCAGGGCCGATTGTGCCGTGCTTTCTGTTTTCAGAGTTTCGATCGGCAAGCGGAGCTCCAAATCGATCATTTCTTTCTGGACGTCTTCTTGCTGGGCTTGCCATGGCTTGCCCAGGCGCAGACCAAACGCGAGGAGAAGGGGTGAGGGAATGCTGGACAATCTTAACTGAGGGACGGCTCGTGCTGTTTGTCCGCTTCCCACTGTATTGCGGTAGGACTGGGAAGGGAGGAACATGCGAGGGCAATGGAAACATGTGCTTGCAGTTGAGATCTCTGCATTCCTGATGTACCAGCTACCAGGGTGCATGGTATCGGGTATCAAGCCCGCTGATGCCAGAGTATGCCAACATATACATTTCACCTCTACCAGACACAGGACGCTGACCACAACTTGCCGCCAAGGCGGTCTGATGATTTGGAGGCAAATATGCGTTGGACTGCCCCCACTCTGCAACAGTTGCTTGATATTTATGATGTAGTTGTGTATGGTTCCGTGAGGCCGTGTCGGTAGACTCCCCCCACTTGCCCCATGGTGTGGTGTCCGACCCCGCCTGGACCTTTCAAAAAGTGCGACCAGTCACAGGGATGGTGGGTGTCGAGGTCGCGATCTTCGTGACTGTCCTCGTTTTTGATGCCGTGCAGGGCGTCATTCTCGGAGCTGTCGTTGTTTTTTGATGTTGCTTTTCTGAAGCGCACGTAGAAAGCACAGGCAAGAACTAAGCTACATAAGGGTGGAAGGGAGGATAAAGCTTTGTGCTCTCGAATGTGCAGCTAGCTGCTCGAGCTGGCAAGATGTTATGGGAGATCCTGCTTCGGATGCGCGTCAGATTGCTGCATTGAACAAGTGGGCAATCGTTCAGGCCATTAGTAACACACAGGTTGCACCGCCGCAGGGGGCCACAGTGGTTCAGGCTGCTCAGCTCGAAAGTAGGTTTTCATCAAATCAGGCGGAAAGGAAGAAGATTTCGTAAACGTGGACCTCTGGGAAACTGCGATGGCAGCACCGGTGGTGGCGAAACTAGCGCCGGCTTCTGTCAAGGAGAGCGTGCTGAAGATGGCCTCTCTAGTGGATCAGACAGACGAGAGCGAGCTGCTCCCACCGGATGCGAGCTTGGTGCAGACGTGGCTGCAGCGATACACATTGACAAAGGGAGGACCGCCAGAGGAAAAAGATGATCCCACCACTTTGCAACTTGTGGCTTTGCGCAAACGCGTGGTACAACTCAAACAGGCACCCCATGTGGACTTCGGCGTCAGGGTGCCGTTCAGCAGCACGTGCCTTGAAGCTGCAGAAATTCCGGATGTACACACCCGGAACTTTCTTGATAAGGGAGCTGCCAAGGCCAAAAAACTTTCAGCAATGGGTCTCTTGGTAAAAGGTCTTCAAGACTGCTGCGCTGATGTTGGGCATTGTTTCTTTGGCTGCGGTTTTGAATTACGAGAAGCTGATCGAGCGGCTGGTGATTCAATGGCCGACGGCATGGGGCTGGGTGTGCCAGGCTGAAGACAAACCAAGGGCTGAGCGTCTGGAAGGAACCCGACGCAATTTTGTGGTGGATGAGCCTTCGGGCACGGTCATGCCAACCGACTGGGATCCAGACAATCCTTAGACGGCGTGCTTCAGAGCCCTTGCGAAGGACGAGGCCTGTTGGAACCTGTTGGAACGAGCAGGTCAGGCATCCCGCTGCGTCTTGGTGGCGGCGGGGCGCAGGGGCGCTCCAGCGGCAGCGGCAGCGGCGATCAAAGGCGCACACTTCGAGAGTGGTGATCATGGACCTGGTCACGGAGAGTCAGAAGAGGCGGACCGCAAGAAGCAGGCGAACAAGACAAAAGATTGGCCAAGAAGAAACGCTTCCAGGAGCAGCTCTGATTTGCCAGTGCTTCCGCAGCATGTCGTAGAACAGGGGAAGGCTGCGTCTAGGGACAACAAACATGCTGGAGCAGCGCGATGCAGCGCGATGCAGCGCAATGCAGCGCATGCTGCGTGGTCAGCACGCCGGCAGCCACCAAGCCAGCGAGGCCAGCCGAGTCAAGAACATGGCCAGCAACCCTGCGCTGGAGGCACTGATACCGATGAGTTGTGGCGTGCTCGAGACACTCATGGCGCGACGAACAGATGCCACTAGCGAAAGTGGCAATAAGGGCATGGGCAAGGGTACATCCAAGGACCAGGCAGGGTTGCAACTTTGCTACAGCTGGTCCACGGGATGCGGGCCACGTGCTGATGTGCCGCCCGGAGAGAAAATGCAAGTGTGCAGTTAAGAGGGCTCACAGGTGCCAGTTCTGTCTTTCACCTTCTCAGCGCGATGATGCTTGTCCGCTGAAGTGAACCATGACGATTGTCACAGTCATTTTTGAGGTCCTGTGTCCGTGTGAGTGTTGGCAGCGTGGCCGCTGGCGGCCTCCCTCAACCATGGTTGAGCTCGCTAGTGGTAGTGACGGGGCTCAGGGCAGTCAGGCGATCAGGTCCGCATGGGTGCCGGACCGCGTCAAGAACGCCCTGGCTGATGCCGCTGACTTCGCTTGTTTCAGAAGAAGAAGGGTCTTGCGCTTGTTCTCCAGGAAGAATGATTCGCTTGGAAGCAGAAGCCAAGGATGCCGGCGTCACGTTGGAGATGACATCTGTGGACTGCTCAAGAGAGTGAAGGATGACAACCTGTCGATCTTGGAGAGCCTCATGCTGGACCCCCTTGCGGCACGTTCTCGAGAATCGATCAAGGTCGAAATCCATGGCAAATTCGGTGGCCTTGCAAGACAATGGCGCCATCCTGGCCACGTGCAGCAGCTCCGTGTCCGTGGGCGAGATCATGAAGGCACAGATCAGAAGAGTCCCGTCTGGGTACGGACAGGGGGCCAGGTGGACCGATGTGGCTGCTACTGGTGATCAAAACCTTCGAGAAAGAATTTGACGTCCGTGGCGGAGTTCGACTCCTGCGCTTATCCAGAGTCAAGTGGTTCAAGCCGGGCAAGTTCGAGGGATAACAATTAAGAAGGCTTGCCTTCGCTGAGTCGTGCGTGTGAATGCAGAAGCCCCAATCCACAAGGGCTTTGTCTTGATTGAAGCGAGGCAGGGCCCCCAACATCAAGTCGTCAAAGAAGAGTGCCAGGGATGAAGAGAATGACCTGGCCTCATGAGCAGGGGGCTTGCGCAACCCATAGGCAGCGTTCCAGAAGGCGCCTACTGCCGTTTGGAGTGGCCAACGATGAGCTCAAGAACTGCCTGGCGCCGGTGGTTTTCTGTGCCATGTTCTTTGGTTTCAAGGGCACCCCTTTGATCCGGGGATGATTGGCCTTGGCTCAACCCTGGCAGTCCATGATCATGCGCGATGTGGAGCTTCAGCTCTACATGAACATTAACGCAGGGGAGAGAGAGGGCTATGCCTGTGTTGGATTGGAGTGCAGCTGGAGCTATCGTGCAACATGGCGTCATGGAAAGGAAAGAGCGTGATCGCCTGCAAAGATCTGAGGTCCATTGCAGGTACGTTGTTGTGGCTGGCGTTCCCCGCGTCTGCTGGGAGGTCTCCATCCTGTACGCTGTGGTGGCGCTTGTGGAGTCCGGCGCAAAGCAGGGCTTGGAGGCAGCGAGGGCCAGGGCAGGCTTGGTGGCAGTTGGTGAAGAGCAATCCGGAATGGTTGGTGGTGGCTGCCGCCAGCCCGTGAGGGTCCTGGCAATTGCGAATCTGCGTATGGAGTCTTTGAGCCCATGGCATCCTTCACCGTGGCCGTGGACCAGAAGTTGGCCGACTGACTTCTTGGGCGTGCAGTTTGGAGAGGCACGCTGGAGGCCCTAGCTTTGGTGGTGGCTGTGCATTTTTTGGCGAGACAAGCTGGAGTTCAGCTGTACTGACTCGCAGCGACCCAGTGGTGGCTATGGCCATGGTGCGCGTACAGTCCATGAAGGTCAAGGTGCTCAGTCCAGACTTGTGCGGGTGGTTTCCTTTCCAAGCCCCGGAGCTGAGGCAAGTGTTATTTGCGCGCCCGTAAAGGCAGATGGCCGCGGCTCACGCTGTGGAAATTCGGTCTGCGGCTGGGGTGAATGTCAAAAGTGCTAACTTTTTTGGGGCATGTGATCGCAAAGCTTTGATGCGTGAGTTCATGAACCGCTACCCTTTAGTTGCAGTGATTCTCGTGCTGCTTGCTGTTGCCGGTGTGGGCGCTGGTGACTTCTCTATGCTGCGCGCAGCTAGCCATGATGGTGTGGCGAATGGCTGGCTGGAGGGCAGAATGTGTTGCAGGGCATCGAGACGTTCCTCAGAAGGCCCTGGGCGAGTTCAAGAAACTGGTTGGGAAGAGAACCGTCCCGTCACGCAAGGTCCAGGGAAACTTCGGCAGGTGTGAGGCAACGATCCAACATTTCCAGAATGCTGAGCCCAAGAAAGAGGAAGTCGGAGATTTCTGCGTTCAAAGGAGGCAGTGCGCCTTGTGCGGAAAATGGTGGCCAGACCACACCCAGCCTAACTTCGTCAAGGCTTGTGTCTCCTGTGGCGGCCCAAGCTTTGAGGTTCGAGCAAAGTTTGACAGCGCCAGCGCCGCCAGGCCCAACTTTGAGGTCAGGCTCTCCGAGAAGATCGTTGGGGGCGCCCGCGTGGACAAGGAGTCGCAAGGACATGCGCCGCGAGCGGGGGAGAGCCAAGTTTTGAGAGAGACACCGTCATGGAACGGATGCTGGCGAGGGCACGGCCAATCATGGACTTCAGGGACAGCTGGAAGTCTGTAGCGGGCATCGCAGAAACGTGGAGTAAGGGGCGTCGGAGCGGTGATCTTTGTGGACGAGGAGGGCTTCCTACACACTTCGAGAAGCTTTTTGACTTTGATTCGCAGCGAGAGAATACTTTGCAGGCGTCTCATCAAGCACATTGTGCCCGGTTGGTCGTGTGGCGACATGAGAGTAAGTACCGGAGAGCTTGCGCCTAGAAGCCCGGAGGCCCGTGGCAAGGCGCTACAAAAGTGCAGTCGGTCTGACTGCGTAACCGCCAGGGGTGGATATAAGATGATGGGTTCTCAAATCAACACCAACCAAGACAGCCCCCGACACACCCCAGTGAATCCATCATCGTCTGAGCATACACATGGGATAACTTGAATGAAGAAGAAAAGCAACGAGAAAACAGTCCCAGCCTATCCCGCGTCAGTGAGCTACCACTGCCCCGTCATCATTCACGGCTCCAAGGATGTATGCGTAAGACTTGGTAGACACGATTTCATGGTCACGCAGAGTGCATGGGTGTTGTCATCGCGCAAATACCAAGCATAAGGGAGTTTGACAGCGAGCCGGCAGTGTCCCTCAGTGTTGTATCTGCCCAGGTGAGTGACAACAGCAAGAACGGAGTATCGTTTCCATTCCACTTGCACCCCCTCATTATCAAGGAATTTTGGCATCGACGCCTCTGTCTCAAGAGTAACTGGCGAGTGGTGTTTCAGGTGAGTGTGCCCGTCAAGGCTCGGAACAAGAAGCAGCATGAGCTCGGGGCAGGTGTTTGATGCCATGGCGCATGGCCTGAAATGCTCATGCCACTGGTTTATCAAGTAGTGTAGCGCGGTAGGCCTTCTCAGGGGGCCAGGCTGACCCAGGAAGCATCGGCCAAGTGCAACCTTCATCGTGAATGTCAAGCGCCCCTTCTATGATGGATCTAGATCCCCATCGTCCTGCTTGGGCGCTGCAAACTCTAGAATGTCGTGTTGCTCATGGGGCCGCTGCCAGCTCGCATCGAGGGCAATCCACGGTAAGCTCTGCCAAGGAGTGAATCCTTAAGCTGGCGTGCAATGAATAAACCCAGGACTAAGGTATTAGCGTAACAGTGGTTACCCCTGTTATTGAGCCTGAGCCCAATGACGCCTTGAAGGTTCAAATCATCGCCGCCACCTGCTCCACGACCGCCGCCCGGCCCAGGCGTTCTGGGTGCAACATTGCTTCTTTGTGTGTGAGGGCTGCGCATCCGCAGAGCGTCTCCATGATTTGGTGTGCCTCTGCTGCTTCGCTGCGCAGCCCGAATTCCACCATGTGCGCCACAGCCTCTTGATTTGATTCCTTGATTTTGCGCGTTGGGTGGTAGCGTACAAGTACTTCCGGCTTCGAAGCCAGGACCTGGAGGCGCTGAAGCTTGGTCACGGCGTTTTTTGCAGCGAGCCGGGGGGCGTCCTGGACCGGCGCATGCTTGCGGATCCTGCGCCAGCCATCCCGCCTTCTCGAGGGCCTCCCTGTGAAGGTCTGCTTTCTGTGCAGGCGCCTGGCTGAGAACATGCTGAAACATGATCGCCCTGTGCGGTAACGCCAGAGATGCGGGATCTGCTTCGCGTTGGGTGTGCCAAGCTCTGCTGACTTGAATGATTGACTGCGCTATGCCCGTCGTGGGAGCCGTGCGCGTGAACATCATGAAAGATGTGGTGGAGACGCTGATCTGATCCGAGTTAGCGCCAGCGAGCGGGCCATTGTTGCCATCATCTGGCGCATTTCCTTGAGGGACTGGGCATCCTGGGAGTCCTCCGCTGTCGGCCTCTTCTTGGGCGGTTTGTTGCCTCGTCCTTTGCCATCCTTGCCTTTGATAGCTTTGGGTGGCCTGTCGCCCCCCCTGTGGATTTGGCCCTGTCGGCACCAGCGCGTGCTTAACTCCCGTATTTAGTGAGACCTCCATCGGTGTCCCCGTTCTGGCCGCTAGCATTTGCAGCACCGCTGTGGCAGCTTCCACTTCTGCTGGCGGCAGCCCGCTCTTGTTCGATGGTCGCGGCGTTGAGCTGAGGAGGGAAAGATGCGGGCGCACGCTCGTGTGTCGACGCTGAGCCCCTTAAATGACTCCTTGCAGAATCGGCGTGGTCTCTTCAAAGTGGCGGCAATAAGCTTACATTCGTTCATGATGGCAGGCATGTAGGCGTGCGATTCTGGGTGTTTTTGTCGAACATGTGCCTTGAGATACTGGGCTGCGCACCATTGATGACATTGTGGACAGTGATGCGCAAACTGATCAGTCATGTCTAGCTTGCTAATTTCCTGCCACCCCCCCCGGTCAAATGCCGCCAGGACCTCAGGCATCGTGCTCATGGCTTGCGCAGGCTCAACTGGCGTGTCAGGTTTGGCGATGAGTACTGGGCTGGATGAAGCGATATGCTGCGTAAGCCTAGTCCAGGTGCCAAGCTCTACCCCACAGTGTTTGCAGGTGGGCCTGATGCCGCGCGTACCTATGCTGGGCAAGTGCGTTTATGGATGGGAAGGAAATTCCCCAACCTCTGATACCTCAATGAGTTTGGTAGCGCCTGAAGGTTTAGTTACAAAGGCGTCTGCGTGTTGCTGTTACTGACTTTTTTGAAACACCCTGCATTGCGTGGCCCGTGAGGGCTCAGCCTGTGCATTGGGCCCTTGCTTGCTCGCTATCGGGAAGCAACCTGCTGGGGTCACGTGGTGTGGGGTGCGAGCTCATGCGTATGCGTGAGCGTGGCGCTAAGCATAGGCGACTCGGAGAAGGGGAAGCCTGTGCCCGCAGGCGACGCGGCCCCGTGGAGGAGGCAGGCAAAATGTTATGCGACCGGGCACGTTCGAGATGCCGCTGGCGGTCGCGAGAAATGGCGAGCTGAGGGACTTGGCCGTGAACAGCTCAAGAAGGACTTTTGGGCCGATTCAAACAGGCCGGCGAAGGAGTCGGGGCGGCAACTTGTGGTGAAATTGGCTCAGGCGCTGGGGGACCGTGTTGGACCCCCCGCCTGCTGGTTTGAGGTTGGCGAGTTTGCTGGTGAGCTGAAATTGTGGCATGTCGAGGGCCGTGACGTTTTTCAGTGACTGACCCTGGCCAAGAAATCGTTGTCTCGAAGCCTTGGGCCAGTCAAGAGGGCCATAGAGCTGAAAAAATGCGGCATCGAGGGCGACAAGCGGGTTCGTGCAAAGCATAGAAATCCATCACCCAGTCCTGGCCTACGATTGGGCAATGGTGTGGGCTCAAATGCGCCGTGCTCGTGGCGGTGAAATTCGAACACGTCGTGGTCAACTTGAAGGGAGACCAGATAGGCTGGGGGCTGGGGCGTCAAATGCACCTTGGGATGCTGCCGAAGAAGAACTGTGCGTGGAAATTGTGGTCGAGGATTTCAAGGAGAAGGCGAAGCTCCGAGTGGTTGTTTGGAGTCTCAAACTTGGACGGCAAGGCGACCAATATGGTGGCGGCTTGCTTGCTGAACTCAGAGGTGGCTGGCCACTCGGCAAGGAGATCGGGAACGAGTCGTGGCCCATCCAGAAGCAGAAGGCGGTGTTCCTGGGAAGGCGGAAGTCCAATGTGGTTCTGACTTATGCGGAGGAAGCTTGGAGGAGGTGCCTGCCAACGTCTGCAACTTGCTGAAGGGGATCATGCGAGACACCGGAGGGTCCACCTGCTGCAAAGCTGCAAGCACACCCAAAACAGGTGGAGATGACATGCACATTCCGATGACTCCTCTGGCCAACTGAACTTTGCCAGTCCAAGTGCTCCGCCTGTGGACTCCGAACGCTTGGTGGTGAAAAAGTGTCATGAGAAGGCCGTGGACTTCACCTCTGACTAGCCGAAGGACTTGTGGGTGCATTTCATACGAAACAAAAAATGACCCGTTCAGACACCTTCTGGAGGCGGCCGGCTGGGACTTGATTATGAGCGAATGAAAAACTGCATGTGTTTCTTTTGCTCGTGCTTAAAGTCGGATGCCGCCTTCTCCTCATCAACGACCTCATGAAGCGAAAGTGCCGAAAGTGCTTGCTGTTCCGAAGCAAACGCGATGTTGTCAATGAGATCGCAACTAAGCGTTTCGCTGCTAATGCTCTGTCCGATGTATTGCACAGGATTGCATGCTAGGATGCGACAGCAGAAGCTAAGCTGCCGAAGGGTGGAAGGGCGGATAAAGCTTTGTGCTCTTGTATGTGCAGCTAGTTGCTCGATGTGGCAAGCTGCCAGAGAGGCACATGTAAAGTTTTGACCCACCCACCCATGCCCAGAGAGACTGCAATTAAGCGTTTCGCTGCTAATGCTTTGTCCGATGTGTATCACATAATCTGATGTGTCGGCGAATGCAAGTACGGCAGCAACCAAGTTTCTTTTTCACCAAGCCTTTTGAGGGCTTTGTAAACAGATTCTCTGCCGACCCTATCCAAAACCTGTTTCATGTTTCAGCATGGCTCCCCACGGCTCCGTCTTCCCCGTCTCGCTCGTCGTCTTTTGCAGATGGAAAGGGGGAGGGGGGCAAGGGTGGGGGGGAGGGTGGGGAGCGGGGGGTGGGGGGTGTATAACTTACAGTTCTGTCCCAGTGCTGCTGTAGCAGCATGTACAATCCGTGTACAGAGGCAGAGAGACTGGGAGACAAGGAGGCAGGCAGGAAGACCGAGCAAGCGAGCGACCGAGCAACCGACAAACCGAAAGACCGACAGGCCGACAGACAGACAGCGCACACGTTGTTTTCACTTTGGTTGGGATTTGGAAAGCCGAAAGATGTCTTCTATTTTGCCGCAGCACTACTGCCAGGCTCACGTTACGTCTCGTGTTTCTGCCAAGGCGTGTGGGCAGGGCAATAAAGCTGGGCGTTCAATCGTCAACGCATGCAGGGCCCATGAGAGTCTTGATGGTTCAGCGTACGCACATTGTCTCCTTGACATAATTGTGAAGGTAACGTGAAAAGCCTCTGGAAGCCCTGCAGGTGGAGGCTGTCGAAGGCTTCACAGCAGAACTGCGTGTTTTGGTGGAGGCGAGGCGGAGAACAGTCACCGCTCTTTGCCCAGGCGAATGGCAGCTCAGAGAAAAATTCCTTCCACAAAGCAATCCAAGTATGAGAGGCGTAGGAGGCTTTCAGCCACTGAGGTGGCATCTTCAGCTCAGGAGCAGTGCTATCTGCAAGTCTGGGTCATTACGCAAAAAACCTCTGGTCAGGGGTCCCGAACCTGTGTCAGAAGCGAATTCTTCTGGAGTCGGAAAGCCTCGCCATGTCCTTCAATGGAAATCAGATCACGAAAGCTAGCTCGCGTGGAGTTTGCCGTGATTGCAGTTTCTACATCAGCTGCTAAGGTGGTTATGTCGCATGTCGGATTTGTAGACAGGGGGGCCCCACTCCTTTAGCCCCCACCCACCCCCCCCTAAAGTCTCAGTGTATCGATGTGTTTGGACGGTATCCATATGGTGTCTGCGAAGCTGCTACATCTCTTCATTGGCAACTTGCCAATGTCGCAATAAAACCTTTGCGTTGCTAGCATCCAGCTGTCAGATATCATGAAGGCTTCACTCGACCATTGTGCCAGCTCTTGCTTGCAAATGGATTTACTCCTGTGCTCTGTGCGTCTGCTCTCATGACGGAGTCCCAACCACTTACAGGTAGGGCCTCGCCCTCCGGCTTTCGTAGCCCTCTTCCCAAGCTGGAGCTGGTTAGGAGCGCTTACTGATCGCTTTGGCGGAGTTGGAGCAGCAGGCTGGGCTTTGCGCAAGAGCTTTTCATAAAAGATGGCGCTTATCTTGCGGCATGTAATGTCCCCATGAAGACCTGATTCCATTCAACTACCTCATGATTGCTAGATTTCGTGAGCAATGCTTCACTTGGGATATTCATCATTTTGGAAAATTCAGCTCAAAACATGTTAAGCTTGGAGCTCTGAAGTTCCCAGCCTGGAACTTCTAGTCTTCAACTCTGAAGCGCCAGGTGCCACAGCTGTGCCGTCAACAAGAGCCGGGCCCTTGTGTTGACAGCCACGGATTCTGAACCACTGTGATGCTGGCGGGCCAGGCTGCAGGCTGCAGATGCCGCTGAAAGGGCGGGAAAGCTGCAGGAGTACGAGGCCCTCGGCATTAGCGTGGTGTTCTGAGAGGAGTGCAAGGGGGAGAGGTGCCAGGTATGGGCTTTGGTGAGGGCAGCGAATGCTCTGACTATGAACTCTGTTCTGCAATCAGATTTGACAGGCTGGTTTTGGGATCTTTTGGGATCCCTTCTATTTTTGCAGGTGCGCTTGGAGATGGTGTCGCGGCGGCTGGGGACACAGGAGGAAAGGCGTGCAATGGCAAACAGCTCCCTCGCTCTTTCCAGCTGATGTATGAAGGTCTAACTGACAAATCAGCTATGAACGTTCTAGCCGAAAGTGAGGAGTGTTCCAAGTGGCTTTGTTGAGTTTTACAGTTCAAGAAGAGCTTGAGAGCTCTTTTGGCGAGAACTCTTTCCTCAGACAAGATGATTATCATTTCAAATTATTTCCGACCCTTGCATGGCTGAATCCAGGTGGTCCCAATGACCTTGAGTCTCTTTGCTACGCGCTGGCAAGAACCCGGTAGGAATTCAGGACGTCTAAGTTGTCAGCAAGAACAAATGCGTCAGGGTGCTTCCTGTAATTCAAGCGAAAGCTTCGCATTTTTAGTGTTCACGTCAGACTTACCTCCGTCCCTGCATATCCCCGCTGCCACTTGTTCACACTGCTGTCTTGCTGGTACCTCCACCCGCGCGCAGGTTGCAGAGTTGTTTTGATCGCTTGGAGAGAGTGCCGCAGCTGCCGCAGCCTGGGGCTCTTCGGGAAATTAAACGGTATGACACCCTGACCGTCCATGGCTACCTTCTTCTTGTCGGGGGGGATATAGATATAGAGGGACTTTTTGGGACACATCCATTGGGGTTGGTTAAGTCGCGTGTTGGCGGCGGTCAATGAAAGGCTTATGATGATCTTTGTGGCGCTCCTTTCTAGCATGTTGGCTGAAGCAGAGTCTCCATCTTTTTGTTTCCAGCATCCGCAGCCTTGGCTTATTTATGACTTTGCCGCACGTTCCCCGAGGCTGCGGAGCCTTTGCCGAGAGGAAGCCCAAAAGCGGCTTGGCGAGGCCTTCTTTGTGTGCAAAAGGAGGGTGCATAAATGGAAAGTTTAGGTTTCGTTGATCCTCTTTTTTGCGCAGAGGAAATCCTTTTCTGTGTGGACACCCAAAAATGCATGTCTCAAGGCACCTCATCATACCCGTAGGAATGAGACCTGGGCAGGAGAACTGCAGAAAGCTAAGCAATCAGCAGCGAAATTCGATGCAACGTAAACAAGATGTCTTCTACTTGTTGCGTCACTTGTTTGCAGCCGAGGATGCCCGAATCACACTTCGAAGCATTATATACTCTTCAGAGTTGTGCTGGTATTTTTTTGCTTGCAAACAAGTATTTCTGAGTTGTGTTCTCATTGCCCTCACGCATGGGCCATGGCCCTTTGTTGCAGGAGCTCCCTTGCATGGCCCAAGAGCTGTCAAGGCATCAGGATCTGCTCGAGGAGGCCTTAGAGATGAAAAGCTTTCCGGGGTGAGGCGAGTGACGGGGCGAAGGCCTGGGTCCCCGAGGATGGTGGAGGGATGTGGAGGGTTCAGGTTTCAGACTGCGTCGGACTTCTCCGCATCAGGTTTCGTTGTGCCTGAGCCCACATCCTCCGAATTCATACCTGTACCGGAATGGACAGGGCATGAATGAGCATAACGTAGCCATGAAGGGCGTAGATACCCGGGCCCTTTGCTCCCGATGCACCAGCTGACAAACGTGCCAACAAACGTGCGCTGCCAGGTTCAACTTCAGCTACAAAGATTCGGAGGACGTTGGCTTGGGCGCAGCCAGGCGGGCGCTTCCATGATAGGGTTTTCTGAGGAACCATGGCAAACAGGGCTTCTTGCTCAAGACTGAAACTGACGGGTTGTAATCTTTATCGTCGCATCGGAATCTCCGCTTACTCTTGAGCGTCCCAGCTTCGTGTGGCACACACTGCGCCAGTCATGGGCTTTCAAATCGTGACCCCGTGTCAGACAGCAGATCTGGCAGCATGCGATCCTTATGTTTTGCCTTACCAGCTCATGTGCAGGAGTAAGTCCTGTCATACCCTTGTTAGCCTCTCTTGACTTGAACATTTACGTACTGTTACCTTTGAGCTTACCTTGTTCATGGAGCAACTACCTCCGTCTATGCTGCGTAGGGTGTTCTGATCAAGACACAATGCACTCAATTGCAGCTTCTGCCTGCAGGGTAAAGAGTTCAGCTGACAGCAATGGCAGCGATATGTGAGGATGGTGGCACCTGCCGAATGTCGGTAACTTTGATCTTTTTCGGGCTAGACTAGAAGAAAATGCTTGGTTGCAAAGGAGTGTAAGGACAGAAACCGCAAGGATATGTCGGTGCTGCAGTTCTGCTCCGCGAATTAAAACTGACCCCGGCTGCGCTGTAGGGTCCCCGACAGGTCCTTGGGGACGTGTGTAGCCAACAGTGGCCATTGCAACGAAACAGAGCAATGCCGAGCTAACGAATCAGCGCTGATGAGGAGAAAACGGCGTCAGCGCCATTCCATTAGATGCCTGCGTCATTCTGCAATTCGTTGGAAGTCATGGAAACCAGGCCTGGGACATGGCGGGACATGATCCAGCAAGCACCAGCAAACTTGCCTTCCTTGCCGCTTGGCTCATCGGTCATAGCCCATGCGGGAGGAGGTCCGCCGATGGCCTTCGCAGCTCGGCCACCATGAGGGACTTAACAGACCAGAGTCCAGACCAATCAGGGTAGAATGATGATATCCTAGTTTCCTGGTTTTCCGCTCTGGAGCTCGAGACGGCATCGATGTGGCGAAGTAAACGTCTACCCTGCTACAAGAGCTGGTCTTGTTCCGTTGGTGAGAGTTACCTGCAAGCTTGCCCCATTCATTGCCGTAGAAACCCAGACCCAGTACGCCCAAGCCACCATGATGGCGTAGAAGGATGCATCGGAAACTTTGCAAATCACAGAGCGTCTGCAGTCTGCAGTTGGCCAATGCTGCAGGTCACTCCCTGCGCGAGCCCGAAGCCGACAGGCCAAAAGTGTGAATTCCCATAGAAACCGCCCATAGAACTCTTGCTGCTATCTGCTCTTTAAGTGTTTTCTCGGTGCAGTTCCAAAGCTTGCTCGCTCTATCTTGAGGACGCAGGTTGCAGACATCCTGTTTGTTTCCAGACACGCAGCATCTGCAATGATCGGTGGACAAGGTTGCAGGTCCCTTTCCCGCGCCTTGTCATAACCAACAACAGTCTAGGCACACTAGACAAGACTGCCAAACGTGAGGAGGATGCTGGGATTTGGGTTTTGGCGGTGTCGCCAGGCTACGGAAACAATCTCACCGTAGGTCTGGGCTTAGAGTCTCTAGCTGCGGCCGCTTCGGGTGTGAGCCATCCACAAGACTTTAGAAGACTCCTTGCGGCTGAGTCAATTACCCGCGAGAAGAGAACTGTTGACTTGTCGCAGGCTCGGCGCTCCCAGTCGTAAAGAGGGCGGTCGAGGGCTGAGAAGTGCTGGATGCGAAAAAATGATAGAATGGGCCAGCCTGCGCACTCCGAGGCATTGCTTAGCCTGCGCTGGGGTGTCAATGGGCCCGTGCCCAAGACCGGATACCGTTGCTGCGCATTACTCATTTGGTATCTGAGTGCCTCAATCACAACATTTGGTAGATCAAGCTGCTACACCCCATTCAGAATGAGCGCGACGAGGGCAAGTATTGCTGCATAATACAGAAAATCGTAGAAAAGCTGGAGCATTGCTCAGTGATCACAAGGAATGCGCTTCAGGAAAGAGTCACAGGGACAACATGTCGCCAGAGTGGCAACTGCCGCAAGCATGTAGCACTTATGGTATCGACAAATGAGTCGTTGTCGCAGTAGTAGTAGTAATAATAGTAGTAAAAATATAGTGGTAGTAGTCGTTGTAGTAGTAGTGGTGGTGATGGTGGCGGCAAAGTAAGCGTGTTAGCGGTAGCAACACCGATGCCTACGACGCTGACAGAAACTATGACAAAAACATCATGGATAATATTCAGAATGCGCAGACATTGTGGGTGGCAAATTTGTCGACTGGAGAGCCAGCGCAGGCCACGATGGTGGTGGCAGGGGAGATCCGGACGCGCCTGGTTGAGTATGGTGGTGGGCTTACGGATTGTTTTGCTACACCGAAGGCTGATGGGTCTAGGGACTGGGACTGAAGGACCAGGATTTGAGCAGAGAATTTGGCTAACTCAAGGTTGAATTTTCGTTTGTTATGTGGCTATACCAGGGCTCTGTCAGCATCTGTCAACAATTCGGATCCTGCAGTTCAGGCCGTGAATAGGAGGCATGGAAGCAAAACTATGTCAATGTTCTCGTGCTCCTATTGGTCAAGCCCAAACAGAAGCTTGCGGCGCTTCTTTGTTATGCTCAGCTTCGTCTGTTGTCGCTGGGATTCCACAATTTCTCACGGAGCGGAATATTTGTCAGGCCTGATGGCTTCCCAGTTGTTCCACCCACTGCCCTGCAGCAAGCACTAGGCAAGTTCAAGATCGTCATCATGGATGCCCCATGCGACGAGAACTCACACATGCCTGGGCCTTGATGGTCTGCGAATGTCCTGTGGTCTGCGCGATGAGTCTTGGTCACAGATTGCCTGAAGGCTGGTTTGATCCCACCATCTGGGGTATGCGAGGCAACCCAAACTGACTATTTGTCAACTTGTGGTTTCGATGTTCAAATGGGGAAGGCCAAAGGCCGAAGTGCTACGCTGTAAGAGCCCATGCTCATAAGGTACGTGAATTGCTTGCGGGATTTCCAGCGCGGGTTTCCTGGGTAATCAGGTTCAGGGAGCGCACCAGGTGCTCCCTCGCACATTTTCCGACTGACCTATCTACACTCAAGTGCGACAGCTGAAGCTAACACAACCATGTTGGTCCTCTACAGGCCCCGAAAGAGCAGAAGATTCAAGCAGCCAACTTAATGGGCTCTATTCAAGTACCGCCAACCTCTCTGCATCTTGAGGTATGTGCGAGAGCTCAAGCAGCTGGGGGTCACTGATGTCGTGCCCTTGAAGCCCTGCCTCAGAGTATCATCAGACTTGCTCACGCTGCCTTGAAAGAGAGAATCTGGAGCTAGTGAAGGCAAGGGACTGACAGAGACTGAGAGCTTCGTTGAGGCAAAGGACTGAGGTTGAAGCTTCAACAGCATAAGAAGCGCGGACTTGAGACTTGGGCCTTCGTATTGTTGCCACGCCATGCATTCCAACTCGGCAGCAGGAACAGGCACATGCAGAAAAGGACATTTTGCGTTTTTTCTTACGAGGAGGGCCTTCGATGCATAGATTCTCAACATTTGCTGCGGCCTTGTTCTGCTGACGTGAGGTACGAACTTGCGAGCCTACGTACTCACCCGAGCTTTTTGAAAGAGAAGGTATTGAGGCCCGCCTGCCTCCTGCATTGAAGTGCAAGGGAAGGGGAACAGAAAGTCCGCATAACTTGCAATGGTTGTTGCTTTCAGATGCATTGCTTTGATGATGATTTCTGCTTGCTGGGTTTTCAATGAAAGTCAGCCTTTGTTAAACCCAACTGAGAAAACGTACAGATGGTCACGAAAGTCAGCTCTCTTCAACCTTGAAAGTGTGGCTCCGGGTCAATTTTAAGCTGTTTAGTCAATCGTTAAGGTCTGGGGAGGCCTCCCCCCTAAAGATTGAGTCAATCCTTGCGCCCCCCCAAAAAAGGCCTCAAAGAATTGATGAAAGGGGAGGAGCTTCCCCTCCAAACCCTTAAAAGTGGCTTGCAGTTGCCTTTCATTCAAAAGCTGTTGCTCAACACCTCAGCCCTCCTTCCACTGCTGCTCTGGCTTTCGTGACCCTCTTCGAAACTATTCGTAAGTATGCTCTGGACTGCTGGCTTTAGTTCGGCCAGTGCAAGCCTGTAGTGCATTGCCGAGAACATTATGAGACAACTGTAGCTTCGCAAGTGCGACTTCATCATTCATCCTTTAGACCGTCTATACTGTATTGCAGACATGGTGCAGCTGCCAGGTTCACGAAATGACTTTCCCCGATGGCGCAGCGCCACCGGAGGATTGCTGAGCTTGACCTAAATGAAATGAACGCAATAATTACAAAGTTAGTGCTGTTGAACAATTATGCTCGTAATGACCCTGATGATATGAGTAGCAACAGGGACAGCAGTGACATTGGCATAGGTTCTTGTTGCTTCCTGACTTCAGTTCTAACGTGGAGGATGCCTGCAAGCTTTGCCAGTCAAGGCTCAGACTTGCTGCACAACCCTAGGGCCAAAACCAGACAATGTCTGGTTTGTCATGCAGCACGTCAAATGTTGCAACAAGGTTCCAGATCCGCCTTACAGTTCCTTCACCAATCTGCAACTGCAGAATTCCCTGCCTTGGCTTCAATTACTTGCGGCTTTCTAGATGATTTGGGCTGATGGTGCAGAGTTTTTTGGATTGTGTTCTGAGTAGAAATTTGCTTCAACAGATAAACTGTTTGTGAAGTTGTGGAGCAGACAAACTCATGCAGCGGCTGTGACATGAGCCCTGCCAGGAGCTAATTCAAAAATGGAACGGTGCCTTGGCCACCCAAAGTCTTGCAGGTGGATTGCACCGCATGTTCTGTGGGAAGGGGTAGACCTGTAAAGCTCCTCAGGAATCAGTTTTGCAACAGATTAGGTCAATCTTCTAGTAATTTCAGTCTCTAAGGCCCTCAAGTTCCTGTTACAGGACAGGTGCCCATCACAACTCTCTACTGTACTGCCTTTGCTCTTTCCCTTGCTTCGTTCCTCCATTTCCTCCCTCTGGTATTTCCCTGCCAATGCGTGAGCAAGCAAAGCAAGGATCATGTCTTGAGATAGGCAACATCATTCACTCAAGCTTCATTTAACTCACAGGTATATACAAAAAACAACTAGCTTCACCAAAGTAGGTTGCTGTCCATGTGCATAGGTACTGAAGGCAGCAAGCATGCCGTGTTTCGCCACTCTGGTTGGGAAAGCGAGTCTGTAGATCAACAGCCCAGTGCTCATTCCACGTAAGTGGGAGCATGTTGGGCTGCATCAGCCTCAAGTAGCCCCATCGACTCTTGACTTGGCAATGTTGACATATTGAGCTACATATACCTACATTGGGCCACCTTCAAGCTTTGAATTCTCTGCAACAGAGGCCTGATTTGCCAAAGATACCGACCAAAGGACCCGGCTTCTGGACTCGCAAGCAGATTGGGTAAGCAGTTGCATTACTCA